TCTCGTGCTTCTCTCAGGACATAGTTTTTCTACTTAGCTGACCACATAACTTCTTTTGCCTTTGATTTAAAAAGTTAGGGATGTCTTTTCCCTCTAACAGGAAAGCCACGGTTGCAGTAAAAAGTGTAGTCGATGAAAAGGGTGACGAGAGAAGGTCATATATTTAGTTTTCGTTTAGTCTTATTTCTCACAAATCTCCACGGGGCATCTGTGTTGTGCTAGGCGCTGCTCGTTGTGTCTGTATCTTCTATCCAGCCTAGATATCTTAGCATCCTTCCAGGAATTTCTTTGGGTTTTGGAGTTGATTTTTCTGTTGGTTTTATTTCATGGTAAAAACTGTCCATTTGGTTTCATAGAATGATACACACTCTTGCAAGGAATTGTCACCTGTCACTGTGTTTAGTCTTTTAATCTAAATATACTAAAACTAAGGTGTTTTTTTTTTAAGTACATGCTGAACTATATTCAAGTGGTTTCCTCTCGTATTCTAAAACTGTTTCACACTGATGACTATCTTACAGAAAAAGTAGCTGTCTGTGGGATGCTCCCAGTGTGATCAGTATCAAAGACAGCAGGAACTCAGCTGTCCCAGGGTTTTTGTGGGGGTGTTTGTTGGTTTGTTTGTTTTCCAGCATATTGCAGGATCTGTTAGCTCACGTTCCAGGGAGGGAAAAGGCTTTCCCAAGCTGAGGCAGAGCAGGAGGTTTTTTTTCTTTGACGTTTACATGAGTCCCTCAGTGACCTCTGCGGTTAAATGGAGTATTCCTTCCAGTTCAGTTTGAAGGCTCTGAGCGACCTGCCACGAAGGAGGAGACAGTGAGGCAGCACCACCGACAGAAGAGCTGGACCCAGAAGATCTTGAAGCCAACCCTCTCTGACCACAGCGAAGGGGAGCGAGTGGACCCAGCCCTGCCACTGGAGAGGCAGCCGTGAGTCTGGGCACAGCCGCCTAACGAACAGGAGCTGGGAGCTCATTGGTCGCCTAGGGGTGGGCGCAGCTCTCTGGCCCGTTTCACATGATTATTGCTTGTGTGGGTGGGGCTTACTGATGAAAACCCACTTTCAAAGCCCAGTTCATTTGAACCTGATTTTTAATTTCCTTCTTCTGTCTAGACCAGCAGTTCTCAACCTTCCTAATGCTGCGACCCCTTAATACAGTTCCTCATGTTGGGGTGACCCCCCCNCTAATAAATACTTAAAGGATCTTAAATTGTTAAAAGATGCAAACATGACGCGGTCCTCTGTAATATACGAGAACATTGATTTCTCAACAAGCTCTACAACATTGGAACAAAAAAATTGATGCCTAAGAAATGATTACTAATCACTGGCGTGAGCCACGCCACTCAAGGCAGACCTCCTACAACCAAAGCCGACAATCTTTCTAAATTGGAAGAATTCTGACTTGTGACCCAGGCAGTCGTTTTTTGGCATCCAACTTTTCTCTTTCCTCCATAATTCTCTTAAGCTGGTGTCAACGACGCTTCAAAACAATACATTTACTAGTTATTGAGCTTTGCTTGTGAATTTTAGAGCCAGTTATTCATTCGCCTCATTTTCCTTAAGCATTCTTGAATCCATGACAAGAAATGCAGTTTCTGAGTGCCGGCTGGAGGGAGTGGATTTCATGCCTGGGAAATACTCGGTCTCACATCAAAGACAGTCTCTTCTGTTTCAAAACTGATTGAAAAGCTGTTGAGTTCAGGCTTCATGAGCACAGCCTCGGAAGACTTGAGCAGAGGGGCAACCGCAGCACCCTGGAAGGGTCAAGACAGGCTTCAGGAAGAAAATGCGCTGTCACAGGAAGCACCGCTCTGTTCTGTGCTCTCTGCTTGCAGAGATAAGGCTCGGGCTTGGGGAGGGTGGACCCTGGCCAGGTCGTGACCCTGAAGGTCACTGGACTGTGACCTCCAACGAAATCTGTGAATGAAAGGAAGTGAAAATGAACTTAGTTGGAATTTTAAAACATATCAGAGGCTTGAAAGGAAAAGGGGGAAAGAGTTGCTTTTCCATAAAAAATCGAGGGAAAAGGATAGTCTAGAAGAAAAAAATGCTTCATTTTGATCCACCTTTCTGTGACCTTTGGTTTTTATTCCTCTTTTTCTTTAAGTGGAATGAGTAGGGATAATAGAAAAAGGGCTATGCTTTTTAAAAATGATTTTTTTCTATATAATCCACACCGAATCGGGTAAGCTAGGGGACTCCAATGCTATGCCCTTGTTACAAGGTCACAGAGAGTCTGACTTAACCTGTGCTCACAGGACTTTTTAAGACAAAGCAGAAATAGAAGCCAGACCGTCCCACTCCAGATGTGGGGGTCTGCTTCCTACACCCAGCTGCCTCAGGACACATATGAAATGATATATGCAAAAGCAGTTTGAACTTCACACACAAGTATGGCACCTTTCCACTGAAACTCACGAAGGTTATAGCGAAAAGTCAAAATTGTCCAACACGAAATAAAGGCAATAATAATAACTAGCATTTACTAGTCAAGCACTTTTTAAGTTTCAAGCTCTATTTTACACAGTTTCTGTGAATAAATTTTCATTTAGAAATACAAAATCAATCATTCAATTGGAGTTACATTTTTAATAAATGTTAAAATCACTTTTTTAATTACTAGCTTTTTTTCTTTGCCCTTTTAAAAAACATTGGTGAATTTTAAAGTTTCTTCACTTAAAATATCTATCAATC